AAAAAAAGAACAATTCATAGCCACCATGTGGGTGCTGGGAATCGAACCCAGGTCCTCTGCAAGAGCAGTCAGTGTTCTTCACCGCTGAGCCATCTCTCCAGCCCAAACTCCAATATTCTTATGAAAAACCCCCAGCCCTGTTGGTCAGCAGTATATTGGGGCTGGTTGTATATGCAGACAGAAGTTTCTTTCTTGCCCATATTCTCCTGCTCAGGGGACTTCTCTGTCTTCCATTGGTTGGAGATGGGATGGGGGTGGGGAAGTTGTTAAACCACAGCTTTGAGCAGTCACTCCCTGTCCAGTCAGGAATATCCACCAGGGCCAGGGACTCATTGCATGATCCAGGTCTACCAACCCTGAATTTGCCACCAGTGAGAAAAACAAGACCCTAGGCTTCTTGACAGGTCGCCTTGCCCTGGGACTGTCCCCTTTCCCAGGGACTGCCCCCTTTCCCAGCCTGTTCCCTTGTCTGCAGTTGATAAATCCTGAACAGCTTCAAGGCTCTGTGCCTTGAGGTAGCCAGGGACTGTGTGCCAGGCTGCCTGCTGCTTACCTTGTACTTAGTGACCCCCCCTCCTACTGACACTCCTGGACTCCTCACCTTCTCCTTTGATTCCTCCCTGAGTCCAGCCCTACTCACCTTTCTTTCCACTATTTCCCACTCACTAGACATTGCTCATTTCTGCTTTAAAGGAATTAAGTACTGCGGTGGCCAAGACTATAGTCACAAGGACACATGGTAATTTAAATTATAACTCAAAGGGCTAGGGGGCACTTACACACAGGCAAACATAACACTCATACACATAAAATAAAAATAAACAAGTCAAGCCGGGTGTGGTGGTGCAGGCCTTTAGTCCCAGAACTTGGGAAGCAGAGGCAGGTGGACCTTTGTGAGTTCAAGGCCAGCCTGGTCTTACATAGTGAGATCTAGGCTAGCTGGGGCTATAGGAGACCTTGTCTCAAAAAAGACCAAAAGGGAAACTCTCTTGTTGGTACATGGTAGGCTCTTCTTACTGGGGTTTTATAATAGGGGCATTTGGCTGGGAAAGTAGCTCAGTTGATAGAGTACTTACAGGGCATGCTTAAAGTCCTGAGATTGATCTCCAGCACTGAACAAACCAGGAATGGTGGCAAACACCGGTAATCCCACCACCAGGAAGACAAGAGACGGGAGGATCAGAAAAAGTTCAAGACAGGGCTGGAGAGAAGGCTCAGTGGTTAAGAGTATATACTTGGTGAGCAGCAGGTGCTCTTAGCCGCTAAAATGCTCTTAAGAACTGAGCCATCTCTCCAGCACCATAAAAATAAATCTTTTTTAAAAAGCTCAAGGGGCAGGAGAGATGGCTCAGCAGTTAAACCCTGGCAGCTCTTGCAGAGGACCTGGGTTCCGTTCCCAGCAGCCACATGGTGGCTAACAACCATCCCTAACTCCAGTTCTAGGGGATCCAATGCCCTCTTCTGACCCCATGGGCATTGCATGACACATGTATATAAGTGTGCCCATGAGTGCCATGCTTGTGGAGGCCAGAAGAAAGCATCAGGTCCCCTAGAACTGGAATTATAAATGGTTTTTACCTACATGTGTGCTGTGGACCAAACTCAGGGCCACTACAAGAGCAGCCAGTGCTCTTAACTACTGAGCCATCTCTCCAGCCCCAGACTCTGTCTCTAAATAAATGGATAAATGGATAGATGGGTAGGTAGATGAATGCATAGGAGCATCCATCTACTTAAGGAGCATCCATAAGTAGATGGATGGACAGACAGACAGATAAAGTGGCTGCACATAGTGGCACACACTTGTAATCCTAGGTCCTCAGATGCCAGCTCTCCATATCCATTTCAAGGTTGTAAGGTAAATGCTCAGCTATGTTCTTCAGCCACATCTGTACCAGGAGACACGTTCCCTGGTTCTCTGCCACACTGGGGCCCCTTGAGCACCTTCTCTCCCACAGCAAGTGAAGAGTACCTGGGGCAACTTCAAGACTAGTGAGAATGACCAGAGCATCATGACCACCTGCACATCCCAGAAGCTTGTAGGTCATGCAGAAATACCTGGAGAAGGAGTAGAGGGGAAGGTCTGGGAGCTAGGGGGAACAGGGTCCAGAAACCATAACTAGGCTGAAAGCTTCCAGATTTATAAAGGGCAAGAGCTGGGCATGGTGATACATGCGCCTCCCAGCACTTGGGAGATGGAAGCAGAAGGATCCAGACTTCAAGACCAGCCTTAGTTATGTGACAAAACAAAAAGAATAAAGGACAAAGCTGGAGGGCTCGACTTCTACTTGCTGGATAGTAGAAGGATAATCTTCCTAGCCCTGAAGAATTTCCTAATGAGTCACCAATAAGAAGACTATACTTTCAGAGATCTTTTCTTTTTCTTTAAGATTTTATTTATTATTTTTATTTTTATATGTACAAGTATATTGCGCAGATTTATGTAAGCATATCCATGTCCTACAATGCCCATGGAAGAAGAAGAGGGTGTAGGATCCCCTGGAACTACAGTTACTGTCTGCTAGAGTTGTTAGCTGCCATGTGGGTGCTGGGAACCGAACCCTGGTCCTCTGCAAGAGCAGCCAGTGCTGCTCAGCCACCTCTCCAGATCCTCAGGGATCATCTCTATAGATTGTAACTAGAGAAGTTTCTCTAACTGTGTAGAGTACCAGAAACCAGGAGGACAAGACATAGCACTCTTTCCTGCGCGTGAAGTTGGCTCATGGTGTTGCTTTTCTGCAACTACCTTTTACTGCTAATGATTGTTCTTTCTCCTCCTTTAGGAGCATTAGAGGGAGAGAGTGCAGTTTGAGTGGTTAATAAAAATAAATAAATAAAATTTTAAAAAAGTCAGCCGGGTGTGGTGGCACACGCCTGTATTCCCAAGCACTTGGGAGGCAGAGGCAGGCAGATCTCTGTGAGTTCAAGGCCAGCCTGGTCTACATAGTGAGTTCCAGGACAGCTGGGGCTACAGGGAGAGCCTGTCTCAAAAAGACAGAAAAAAAGGAGCTGGAGAGATGGCTCAGCAGTTAAGAACACTGGTTGTTCTTGCAGAAGACCTGGGTTCGAATCCCAGCACCCACATGACAGCTAACAACTGTCTGTAACTCCAGTTCCACGGGATCTGTCAGCTTCTTCTGTCCTCCTCGAGCATTGCATAACATAGGTGCACTTACCTACATGCAGGCAATACACGCACACACATAAAAAAAAATAAAAATAATAAATTTTTAAAAAGACAAAAAAAGTCAGGCGTGGTGGTGCACACTTTTAATCCAAGCACTCGGGAGGCAGAGGCAGGCAGATCTCTGTGAGTTCAAGGCCAGCCTGGTCTACATAGTGAGTTCCAGGACAGCTGGGGCTACAGGGAGACCCTGTCTCAAAAAGACCAAAAAAAAAAACCAATAAATAAAAAGACAAAAAAAATAAAAAATAAATAAGAATAAAATAAAAGTCACCAGTAAGTGACTCGGAAAACATGGCTTCAATCCAGCAAGATGGCTCAGTGGATAAAGCCACTTGCCACCAAGCCTAATAACCTAAGTCTAATAATCCCTGGGACCCACATGGTGGAAGGAGAGAATTAACCTCCTCAAGTTACCCTCTGACCCCCACAAGTACACCATGGTATGTGTACCTTCACACAAATAAATGAATGAATGAATGAATAAATAAATAAATAATAAATAAATAAATAAATACTAAAAGAAACAGGGGAATACAAGGAAGGAAGGAAGGAAGGAAGGAAGGAAGGAAGGAAGGAAGGAAGGGAGGGAGGGAGGAAGGAAGGAAGGAAGGAAGGAAGGAAGGAAGGAAGGAAGGAAGGAAGGAAGGAAGGAAAAGATAATGTGGCTCCTAGCTGAGACACTGTTTGACTTAGTGGCCTGAACAAATCACTTCAGCTACCCTGAGCCTTAGTTGCCTTGATCAGAGGGTTCCCATCCTTTGCAGTCATTAGAGTCATCTGGGAAAAATTTGTAAACCCAGGTAACAGTCCCATAGTTCAGTTTGCTTTGGTACTAGGTCAGGATTGAGGACTCTTGGACTAGATGTTGCAGTGGTTTCCTCTGAATTCAGTTCCCACTGGATTATACAAACAATTATAAATTTCACACACCTATTCCCACAGAGGCACACATACATACACACTGTACACCTAAGAAAATGAAGGCCCAAAGAGAAGTAGTCTGAAAGTTTCCCAGCAAGCTCTGGCTTCAGCTCATAGCTACCTAGACCAGTGTCATTAGCACTCCCTAAGAAACAGGTAGAAATAATTTTTTTTGTTTTATGCTGCTGGAGGTACAACATAGGGCCTTACACAGCACTTTACCACTAAGCTACATGTCCAACAAGAAATGGAAATTCAAGGGCTAGAGAGATGGCCCAGCAGTGAAGAGCACACACTTACAGAGGCCCTGAGTTCAGTTCCCAGTACCCACATGACAGCTAACAACCATCTGTAATTCCAGTTCCGGGGGATCCAAAGCCCTCTTCTGACTTCTATGGACATTGAATGCACATGGTGCACTTACATGCAACCAAAATACTCATATACATAAAAAAATAAATCAATCAATCAAAGAAAGAAAGAGTAAGAGAGGAAGAAAGAAAGAGAAAGGAAGAAAACAATTTTTTTTCAGACAGGATATCATGTAACCCAGGCTGACCTCAAACTTACTATGTAGCTGAGGATGACCTTGAACACCTAATCTTCCTGCGTCCTGAGATTACAGATGTATATCACCATGCCCATCTTTCTGTTTTACTGAGATAAGGATCTCCCTTGTAGTCCTGGCTGGCCTGGAACTCACTATGTAGGCCAGGCTGGCTCTGGACTCAAAGCAACCCTCCTCCCTCCATCTCCTGGGTATTAGATTTACAGGCAAGTGCTACCATACCTGACAAGAAATGGAAACTTTAGACCTCACTCTGAAGCAGGTACTCTGTTTTAATGAACCCTGAAGGCAAACCTGATGTACAATAATTTTGCGAACCAACTTTTCATGTCAAGCCTACAGTTTGCAGGCCTCATGTGTCCAAGGACAGCTATGAAATCAGCTAAAACAAAGTCATAAATTAAAAATATTATGAAATTTTTGTTTTTATTTTGAGACAAGGTCTCCCTGTAGCTCTAGCTGGCCTGCAACTCACGACGTGAATCAGGCTGACCTCCACCTCTCAGAGCTCCTCCTGCCTCTGCTTCCTGAGTACTAGGATTTCAGGTACGTGCCACCATGCCTAGCCATTATGAATTTTTTTTTCAACAAGACTGAACAGTTTTTTAACATAAACTTTATATCTAACAATGTGATATCACAGTGTGGAAAGGTTAAACACTATTCAAACAATAGAAACATCAAAGCTGAAAGGCAGTCCACCTTGTACAGGAATTCAAGGCTCAAAATGGCTGTATGGCATGCTCTGAATTACAGCAAGCCAAGTACAGAGCTGGGACTCTCTAGGCCTCCTGACCAGTCTTGGGCACCTCCTTGATGCCAGGCTCTTCTGTATCCTAAACATTCATTCCTCTACTGAGAACTGAAAAAGGCTAGCCATGACCGTGGACAGGATCACCCTACTCTGTCAGCCCACAGGCCCCAGCTAATGTCAACCCTCTCTGAATCTCTTCCCTCAGATTGTGAGGTAGCTCAGCCAGTAAGACCTTGATGCCCAAGCCTGGTGACCTTAGTGATCTCCAGTAGAAGAGGACCAACGCCACAGAGTTGTCCTCTAGCCTCACTCCCACTATAGCATATATCATGCACACACAGACACACAGACACAGGCAGACATAGACACAGACACACATACACACAGGCACACACACACACACACACACACACACACACACACATGCACACACACACCATGACACAATTTTTTTTATTTATTATTTATTATTTTTACTTTATGTGTATGCATGAATTGCCCGCATATAGGTAAGTGCACCTGTGTTGTGCAATGCCTGAGGAGGACAGAAGAGGCTGTTGGATCCCCTCAAACTGGAGTTTCAGACAGTTGTTAGCTGCCATGTGGGTGCTGGGATTCGAACCTGAGTCTTCTGCAAGAACAGCCAGTGCTCTTAACTGCTGAGCCATCTCTCCAGCCCCAACACAATATTTTTTTATTAAAAAGGGTTTGCAAGATGGCTCAGTGGGTAAAAGTGCTTGCTTGAAAACCTAACAACCTGAGTTCAATCCAAGGAATCCACATGGTGGAAGGAAAGAATTAACTCCTGCAAGATGTCCTCTGAACTCTACACACGGACCATGGCATATAAGTACTCCACATGCACAAAAAATAAATAAATGTTGGGGCTGGAGAGATGGCCCAGCAGTTAAGAGCACTGGCTGCTCTTGCAGAGAACCCAGGTTCAGTTCCCAGGACCAACATAGTGGATGACGGCCGTCCTTAACTCCAATTCCAAGGGATCTGACACCCTGTTTTGGCCTCTTTGAGCATTATGTCCACATGTGCACTTACATCCATGTAGGCAAAACACTCATACACATAAAAGAAAAAAGAAAGAAAAGACTAATATTAAGGGGAGAAAAAACTGGTTGGACGTGGTGGCTCACACCTTTAATCCCAGAACTTGGGAGGCAGAGGCAGATGGATCTCTGTGAGAGTGAGGCCAGTCTGGTCTACATAGCGTTCCAGGCCAGCTGGGGCTACAGGGAGACCCTGTCTCAAAAAGACAAAAAAAAATTTTTTTTTTAAAGATAAATTTAGGGTCTAGAGAGATGGCTCAATGGTTAGGAGCACTGGCTCCTCTTACAGAGTAACTAGGTTTGGGTCCTAGCACCCACATGGTAGCTATACATCTGTAACTCCACTTCTAAAGGATCCAAAACCCTCTTTTGACCTCTTTGAACATTCCACACATATGGTGCATTTACATCCATGCAGGTAAAACATTCACATGAAACAAAAATAAATAAATAAATTTTTTAATATTTTTAGAAGAAACATTTCATTAACAACCTATTATGAGTAGTAATATTCAGATATATACAAATATATATATATATTAGAGATGCATGCTCCAGCATCTCAGTGTTATTAGCAAAAACAATGAGTCTTTCTGTAAGAAACAGTATATTTTAAAATGAAATTGAGATCTTTTTTAAAGGTTAAAAACTCATTTAGCTGGGCATGGTGGCATATGCCTGCAGTCCCAGCACTTGGGAGGCAGAGTCAGGCGTATCTCTGTGAGTTTAAGGCCAGCCTGGTCTACATAGTGAGTTCCAGGACAGCTGGGGCTACAGGGAGACCCTGTCTTGAAAAGACCAAAAAAAAATGTTGCTCCTCTTGCAAAGGACCCAGGTTCAGTTTCTTGAACCCACATCAGGCAGCTCACAACTACCTGCAACTCCAGTTCTAGGGGATCTGAGACCCTCTGTCCTCTACAGGTACTGCATGCATGTGGTATACACAAACTCAAGCAGGCACACATACATACACACAAAATAAAATAAAATAATAAATCCGGGGGGGGATGAAGAATTAGCCAGGATGGTGGCACACGCCTTTAATCCCAGCACTCAGGAGGCAGAAGCAGGCAGATCTCTGAATTTGAAGCTAGCCTGGTCTACACAGCCAAGTTCCAGGCCAGCCAGGGCTACATAGCGAGACTGTATCTAAAAACAGTAACAAAAATTTCTTTGTGAGGGAGACCGTCCTCTGGCTAGCACCAGGCTTCAGCTATTCTTTCTCCCAGCATGAGATTCCTGAGGAAATACCAATTTCTTGGAGAATATCATTTCAATAATATGATAACCAAAGGGAGGAACACAAGTATCTCTTTAAAATATATT